ACCGCAACTACGTTAGTAAGATCAGCGATGTTGGTCTGGCTAGGCTGGTTCCTCCGTCTGTCGCAGATAGTGTTACTCAGTACTACATGACCTCGGCTGCCGGAACGTTTTGTTACATAGATCCAGAGTATCAACAGACGGGTATGTTGACTACTAGATCAGATGTGTACTCCTTAGGGATTATGTTACTTCAAATAATCACCGCCAAGCCTCCAATGGGTCTAGCTCACCATGTGAAAAGAGCAATCGAGAAGGGGAAATTTGCGGAGATGCTCGATCAATCCATCACAGATTGTCCTATGGATCAAGCATTGACATTTGCTGAATTGGCGCTCAAGTGTTGTGAACTAAGAAAGAAAGATAGGCCAAGTCTGGCCTCTATTGTGGTACCAGAACTCAACAAATTACGAGATTTTGGAAGCGGTGAAGGGATTGGCGGCGACATTCACGTATGAAGCTTTTGGAAATAGTGGCGGTTTTGCGGGAGAAAAGGGAACAAATCTGCTCATCAAATGTCGATGGGAAGAAACGGGAGTGTGGTTTCAGTGCCACCTGTTTTTTTCTTTTACCACATCTTAAAGTGGATTGTAATGACACTCTTTTGGTTTAATTGAAATTCCCGGCCAGTTATAAAAAAAATTAGTGGTCATAATTATGAAAGCTCTACCAATATTATTGGTTCAAACCCAAGGACATCTGGTCGACAATCTACAATTTGATCAAGTTGAGATCTAAAATGCAACTCAAGTATGATTACTTATCAAAATAAGTAGCTCATTTTTGTTAAGCCATACTTAATAAATAATTTTTATTGTTTGATATATCATTTTCACTAATAAGTTATATGTTTACCCTTTTTCTGTAATGATATTAGGAAACCTAGTGAAGAATTGTGAAGTAAAGCAGGTGAAGATTGGGCAATAAGGAGAACAGGTGACAACAACGTCGATGGTTGAAACACTAAGAGGACTCACTTGAGGAATTTTAGGACAATTTCACCTCCTGATTGAATTCGCTATGGGATAAGACGAGTGTAAATTGGCATTATTGGTTGATAATTTTTTCGGGCTAATACCAATATAAATACCAACCTTTAGCGAAAGTGCCATTTATATTACGAAACTTTCGACATGAAAATTGTATACCAACCATTAAGTTTTTCGTTATTAGTTAACAGAAAATACATTCATCGATGACATGGCAACTGACATGTTAAATTTTAATAAAAAATAAAGGGTAAATTACAATGTTGATCATTGGGATTACTAAAAACGTTCACGTTTGGTCACTAAAAATATTTAATTCCATTTGTCATCACTAAAATTAATAAAACATTTCAACTTTGGTCACTCTCCGTTAAACTCCTTTAACATTTCAACTAGATAAACACATTCTTACAAAACCCATTCATATACAACTTACAAACTAGGTTTCATATTTCCTAAACAACCATTAGAGATTTTTGCAATTATTATTATTATTATTTAATTTATTGTCATAATGAGGTGACATTTTTAAAAGATTAAATTATTATTTTTAATTGCCACATCATTTATTTAACTGTCAACTCTCTAAGTTGACTGCCATGTCATATAAAGTTAACGGAGACTAACGGAGAGTGACCAAACTTTAACTCTTGTACTAATCTTAGTGACTACAGATGGAATAAATTAATTTTAGTGGTAAACGTGAACCCTTTTAAGTAATTTCAGTGACCAAACTTGCAATTTACCCTCTATTGAAAAATACATATCCAAAGTTTTTTTTGTTGTTGTTGATTACCCGAGAACCTCAACAGGGCTTCACCTCCTGTCGCGACAGCTTTACCGTCAGCCTATCTTACCTTTGGTATCAATTGCACTAATAAACGGTTATCCCATTAACGGTGTAACCGATAACCGAACTGAAACCAGTGCTTAACGGTTACACCGAACCGATTAAATGATAAACGGTCGGTTCCCGGTAGTCAAATTAAGCTAATAACTAACTGATGGTTAAACGGTTAATAACCGACGGTTAAACGGTTAACCGACTAACCGATTACAAGCATCCTCATAGTTAAAGCCAAAATAATACACTTCCATGAGCTGCAAACATAGGCCGAAAATAATGGGGTGTTTGAAGGATTACAAGACCCTTGACTATCCTAATTGTAATAGTGACTTAGATTCAAATGAAAATAAATTAAAGGAAAAGTTTTAGAAGGAACACAGTAGAAAGTCAGAATTGCGCATAGTTGTTCGACATCAATTAGTAACATTAAACTTCCATGTAATTTGATGGGGTTTACGAATTGAGTAATTATTGTTGAGTATCGTTGTATGCTTTTTTAATAAAGTTTGAAGTTAGAATGATATTATTGTGTACTTGTGTTAGATTGAGTTGATTATGTATTGATATATATCCATGTTAAATTATTTTTTATTCAATGATAACAACTTGCTAAAAGAACACATGAGTATGTGTGAAAAATTATAGAAAATTTCACAATTGAAAAAAGTAGCTCTTATGTTGGCTAGGTTATCGATCATTTATTTTGGTATAATCTTGCCGAATCACTTAGTTAATGGTTATTCGGTTAACCGACAAATAACCGAGAGCCGACTAATTTAAACGATGCGGTTAACGGTAAGCACAAAATGCTTAATGGTTAACCGAGAACCGTCTAAACGGTTTCGGTTATAACCGAACCGAACTGATTATCAGCCCTAGGTATCCATATCCAAAGTTAATCGTGATATTTGTACCAAATTCTACCAATTGATTGAGTTATCTAATTTTTAAATCCTACCACTATTATATGGAGATTCTCCATAAGAACTTATTCTATTCAAAATTTCGAGCCTTATGAGAGTTTATAGGAAGGGTGTTTTTGGCATTTAAACTATTAAAATAAAGCATATTTAGACTTCTAAACCAAATAAATAATATGTGCAATAGTAGTAGGATTTTTATTCCTTAGCCAAATAAAATATTTATAACCTTTACTTTGAAAACTAAACGTGTGGGACATTAAAATATTGGTTAGTAGCCACATAATTAAGAATCTTTAATTGATAAAGGTTTCATATTTGGAAACATTTTATTTTTACACTTAACTAAAATTTCAATAAAATGAAGGTGAAGAAGAAATAGTTTCTTTTTATGGTGGAGGTAGTGAATTCGAAAATAGTGATAGTGACGTTGTGACATTGTTGAGAATAAGGGGTAGACTATTGATGATGGATAGAGAGGTCGCAGACTCGCAGTGATGAATATGAAACTACAATTATTGACAGAAATAATGATACATATGGTGAAGCAATAAAAAAGAAGTTCATAAGAAAATTACAGTAATTTTTACAGCAAGAAGTAATTTGAAGTGTAGTTTAGTGAAGTTTTTTAAGAGTTAGTTCCCTTTCATGAGTTCTATTTTTTATTTTCAGTAAGAACTTTCATAGATGAACCAGTTAACATATCAGAAAATTCTATGATGTATGTTCCTTTTTTTCATTAATTGAATAGTTCAAATCTTTTGACTTTAGATATCAATAAAAATATACCTTACTTCGTACAATTACAAACGTTGCTTATATGTTTGAAATAATACATCCAGCCAACGGGCAGGGGTACTTTTGTTGATGAACCGGTTAGCATATTAGAAAATACTATGATTTATGTTCCTTTTAAAAAAAATTCCAGTAATTGAATAGTTCGGATATTCTAACCTTTGATGCCAATAAAAATATATCTTGCTTACACAGTAACAATGATTACTAACGTTTTTGAAATAATGCATCCGGCCAACAGTCGGGTTTCAAATCTAGTAAAAATTAACCCAAATCCCTAAATAATGAAATCTGGGATGAGATACGGTGACAACCCCATTAGGGGTTGTGAGATTGACAACCCATTTTATAACCATAGGATCCATTCTCTCTCTTGTCTCTTTCTTCTTTTTTCAAATCAATGGTACAGATTGGATTAAGGGTATTTTTGGACGAAAAAAATTGACCACACTAGATTATTACCCCTATTAATACCTAAAACCCTACACTCTCTCTTTCCTCTCTCTCTCACGCCATCTTTCTTCTTCCTATTCTTCTTCTTCTTCTTCCTCCCATCTCTTCCCTCTCTCTCTATCGGCTGCCACCACCGTCGTCGCAGCCGACCCGCAGCCGACCCACCACGTCGTCGCGGCCTCCTCCTCCCACCACCGCCGTGATGGCCTCCCACCACCACCGTCGTCGCAACCCACCCGCCGCCCTCTGTCTCCCACCACCACCGTCGCCACGAGGTCACCGCCTCTCCCCTGCCTCCCCCTTTCGTCATCCCTATTTTTTTTTTCCAGATCTGTGATTTTTCATATTTCAGATCTGATTTTTTTTTGTGCTACTCTCTAGTGGTACGCTACTAGTGGCAATGGTACCGCTACCAGTGGTACTGGTACTGGTACCGCTACTACTGCTAATGTGTACCGCTATCAGTGGTACTGGTACTGCTAATGGTACCACTATCAGTGGTACTGGTACTGCTAATGGTACCGCTACAAGTGGTAATGATACTGTACCACTAGCACTGGTAGCGTACCACTAGTATTGGTAGCGTACCACTAGCACTGGTAGCGTACCACTAACACTGGTATATTAATTACCAGTAGACTAATAGATTGATACACTTTTTAACGCATTGGTTCATTTTTTCAGGTTGCCGGAGGGAGTCTGCCGGAGAGAATTCGCCGGAGAAAAAGTCTGTCTATCGTAGCGGAGTGGCCGCAGGAGAAAGGAAGAGAGAGATAGATAGAGATATTAATGTATAGGATTTAAATTTAAAAAAAATTATATTTAATATGAGTTTTTAATTCCCAATCTAATTAATACAAAAAAAATAATTAATATATTACTTTTTTCATACCCAAAATACCCTTGGTTGTCAATCTGACAACCCCTTTAAGGGTTGTCACCGTATCCCGTCCCATGAAATCTCCCATCAAACGACACGACCCGGTCGTCTTGTTAGTTAGTTTGGTTGGCTTGGTGAGTCGGTCTCGCGGGCGCAGGCGGAACAAACTCATCGGGAGTCGACCATCCTTCTTCCTCCGCTTTCTCAATTCTCACCCTCTGCGTTTCACGGCTGCCTCTCTAATCAACCGCGGAGAGACCTTGGGCGCAGATTCTCCGAATTGCACGTTGGTATTGAGAAGAAACAGATACACTTTCCTGTTCGATTTCTGGTTGGGACACTACCACAAACACTTGAAGCGCGAGGTTAGTGTATCAGCCCTACAGTCCGAAAGGAATGTCGTCCATCTACGTGCTCGAGCCGCCGACGAAGGGCAAGGTCATCCTCAACACTACTCACGGGCCACTGGATATCGAGCTTTGGCCGAAGGAGGCGCCTAAGGCCGTTCGGAACTTCGTACAGCTTTGCCTCGAGGGCTACTATGATAGCACCATCTTCCACCGTATTATTAAGGGCTTCATCATTCAGGGAGGAGATCCTACTGGAACTGGCACTGGTAATATCTCTCACCCCCTTTCTGCGAATATACAATCTTCTCCCTCCCTCTGCAAGTTTGTCGATTTTGCTTGAGGATAGTTAGGGTTTCCTCCTTGAATTATGCTTAGTTTAGTTCTAAAGGGCCAAATTATCCATGTAGATGCAGCAATGTTTTGTTGATTTAGTAACTAGTTTCTCTTTTGGCCCACAATACCTGTAGGTGGTGAGAGTATATATGGGAGTGCATTTTCTGACGAAATTCATTCTCGTCTGAGGTTCAACCACAGAGGCTTAGTTGCATGTGCAAATTCCGGTGCACCACACTCCAATGGGAGTCAGTTTTTTATGACTTTGGATAAAAGCGACTGGCTCGATCGAAAGCATACCATTTTCGGAAAGGTAGCATTCATCTTCTTGTTTATTTTCTTTCTGAAACAATTTCATTATTAATAAGTGATGAATGTAGTAATGCAAGCACATACATCAGCTCTGTGTTGGACAGTTAGTCATGGGGTACTTTGATTCACGAGAGAGCTTTACATTTTGTGCTTCAGGTCACGGGAGATTCTATATACAATCTCCTTGCCATTGGTGAAATTGAAACGGGTAAGGACGATAGACCATTGGATCCAATCCCAAAAATAAAATCAGTGGAGGTAGCCTTTTTCTTTTCTTCCCACTTCTTCATTTAAATTATATATTGTGATTGCTGAAAGCTATGTGTATTTCGGGTTATGATTAACTGCTTATAGCAGCAGCTAAGTGTATTTAGGATTCAGGATCTTCATAGTCCTGGATTGCTTAATCTCTAAAACATATATGTAAGACAAATGCAGAAACGTTCATAATACATCCTTTTTACTGCATCTGCTACTTAACTAGGCTTCTGTTGCATCTTCCGAGCTGAGCTTTCACTGTTAGAATTCACACAATGAGGATCTGGTATTATGGAGATTCTTACCTGCATCTGTCTGTTAGGTTTTGTGGAATCCCTTTGATGATATAGTTCCGAGAGCTGTGCCTAAAGCTGTCAACCATTCTGAATCCGATGCTGAAAATAAGGATTCAAAATTAAAACCCGTGAAGTAAGTGTTACTGTCCTCTATATATACAACAAAGTCACTTAATATGCCCTGCTTTTCTGAACATATATAAAATGGATGCAGAAAGTTGAACTTGCTGTCATTTGGAGATGAAGCTGAAGAAGAAGAGAAGCAGCTTGCAGCTGTGAAGCAAAAAATTAAGAGTAGTCATGATGTGTTAAACGATCCTCGCTTGCTAAAGGAGAATCAACAAATGGAAGAATCGGTAATGATTCAATTGGCTTTGTAGTTTGTTGATGATCAATAACCTTAAGCAGCTCTTAAAGTTCTAGATGCAAAGCTACCAGCACATGTGCAGTGTCATGGATGCGTTGACACAATGGCCATTAAATTGTGCCGGCAAATTTACTTGCTTTTGCCTAGTGCCTGGAAATTAATTGTAATTACTCATCCATAGCCTCATCTTTTGTATTGGGTAGGATATTAACCCTCAATAAGGGCACGCCTTGAAAATTTTCAGCATCATAGTTGTGCAGTTATAATCTTTGAGGATAAGTAGGTCAAATAGTGAGTAATGGATATGCTGTTGATATCTTTTCTCTTTTAAAGTTTGCATGATGATTTACATGGTATGCGTTTAAGAGTTCCTGGTGCTTTCAGAATTTATCCGACGCCAGTGCCTCGAGAGAACTGCAACTATCTGTGAGAGAAGCACTGGGTTCGAAGAAAGAAGGGAGGAAGAAAGCTTCAGAAGCTGGAGTTTCTAACAATGATGAAGATGATAGTGAGGATGAGGCCAACTTTGATTCACGAATGCGTCAGCAAGTGCTTAGAAAACGTCAAGAACTTGGAGATTATCCATCTAGCCTTATGCAAACTGGTAAATTACCTGGAAAATTCTCTTAACATGATATGGTAGAATGAACTTTCTTACTTACCTTCTGGCTTTGTAATGGAATAAGAAGAATCTAGAGAGAGATTAAATCCTCAATGTTTGTAACAAGCACACACTCACTGGAATGAATACATAACAAATATACATTTGTGTTAAGTGGGATCTTGTATCTTTGTGATAATTTGATGGAATGGTGTTACACCCGTTGGTGTATGGATCTGGGAGCATCTAAACCTATTACTAGCTTTATTGACATGTCTGAGCTGGAAATCGGGGACTCAAACACGAATCATCTAATAGGATGCTTTCTTCCTCATGCTAGATGAACTCTGCACCCATATCTTTAATCTGCTTTATCATTTACTGTTGATCTATGTGAATAAACTGCTGCAATATACTCTCCCCCCTGCTTCCCTTCGTTACTTTTCTGTCATCCTAGGTGTTCCACTTGGCTGTGCTTTAGTTACAAACTGTTGCTTGCTATGTCTCCCTGTCTGCAGGAAGCTCCAACTCAAAAGGTCATGACCTTGCTGCTTCAAGGTAATGCATGAATGATCTTTATCCCTCTGCTAGAGTCAGTTTGTTAGTTCGTCATCTAAAGTCTAGGCACAGTATCTAATCCCCTCTTAGGCTAAAATGCTCTCTGTACATCTTATGATTTGCAAACTTGAAAACCTTTCCTGATCACATAGAAAGTATGGACTAACCAATGACTGAATATAGGTGAGTATGACATAAGCCGGGGGCTCTTTTTTGCGCGTTCTTATCCAACAGACTTGTATCATCAGATGGGATGGTTTCTTAGGTTTTTTCCCCAGATATGTTGAGATTTTTTATTTAATGTTGGTTTGAGCTGTCCTTGCTGTTGAGTTCTTATGCAATTGCCTACTTTTTTAATTGTTATACTAGATCAGACCTCTGGTTCCCCCTTGTAAAATGATTGTATTGCTGTTCAGCTATACTCTGTTTGCTTTGATTTTTGGTTCTTGTGTTTGTACCTCTTTTACTTATTTACATTCTTCACGTTTTCCATAATGTTTTCTTCCCTTTTCCGTACTTGTCGTTGATAAATTGTTCCTTGTTCCGGAGCTATTGAACTTTATATACAGCTTCTCAACTAAATGATGTTGCTCATACGTTAATCAGATCAAATGCTGAAAGCACTGAAGATGAGAAACGAAGGGTGGAAAAGCTGTCATTAAAAAAGAAAGGAATGGGATCAGAAGCTAGAGCTGAACGCACGGCTACTGCAGATACAGACCTGCAGTTGTATAATGAAGCCGAGCGTGGAAGACTCTTGCAAAAGCAGAAGAAGCGAAGAATTGGAAGGCGAGAGGATGAAGTATGTCATTTGTTACTAGTTTTCATAGGAGCATGCATCATGTTAGCTCAAGAACACAAGAATGTAGGCAGATTGGTGAAAGAAAAAAAAATCGTCAAGCTTTGCAGGGTGAACGTAACTGTTGCCCTCTCATTTTTTCTATTTGGATGATACTTATAGTGATTAGTTTTCTTTTCACACTTTTATTTTCGTAGTCAATAAGATTGCATATTGGATTAGCCAAGAAACTCGAGGTGGATGGAGAAAAATTGGCACAATATACTGCTTATTTGGAATTTGTTTATCTGTTTAATCTTTCAGAAAAAATGGTTTCCTGTTAGTGACGCATGTGCTCATTTGTTTTTACTGTTTCCTTTGGTTTCGTTTGCTCTTAGGTTTTAGCTAAACTGGAGATGTTTACAAAGGCAATTTCGGGGAAAGCTACTGCATCGAATGGCGAGGCTGGAGATGCTAATGATGAGGATTTGTCAGACTGGAGCTCTGTACAACTGAAATTTGCACCTGAGCGTGGGAAGGTATTTCTCAATGTATTGAAAAATTTAGGATCTTCTGTGCTATTTGGAGGATTCTTGGCAATGTAGGAGGGTTATGATGAGATTATTGAAATGAGAAGGAAATAGGTTCAGGTCGTAAAATTGTGCCATGAAGGCAGGTTAAGTAATACAAGTTAGCTTGAAGTAACTTCATTGAGGTGCCTTCTTTTTTGTTTGAATCGGAAAAGACCACCCTTTCTTCCAGCAGGTAGAGGGCGTATCAACTAACTAGTTCGGCTTTTTACTAAATGTTGCAGGATAAGATGTCACGAAAAGATGACCCAGATGACTATGTTGTGCATGATCCTCTTTTGGAGAAGGGGAAAGAAAAATTCAATCGGATGCAAGCAAAGCAGAAGAGACGAGAAAGGGAATGGGCTGGTCAATCTCTAACTTAATCGCATCTCTGCTACCGGTGTGAGCTCGATTGTATGCTTTGCAAATGTATGTGGAGATGATATAATCTTGGTGGGAGCTGTCCGTTTAAAGTCACAGATTGCATCAACAGATGGGCTCACAACTGTCAGTTTAACAAGTTTTTGCAGCTTCTACCATTAGTCGTGTGAAGGAGCGCAATAGTAGAATCTAGGGAATGTCTATTTTTTACCCAAACCTTTTTCAGATTCTTTTATTTTAACCAAACCTATTGAATTCCTAAAAATTATCCAAACGTTAACTCTCCGTCAACTTTTCTGTTAGTAATGCTGACTAAGTATGACCATAATGAGTTGATTTCCTACGTGACGGTCAGAATACCATCATTTACTATTTTTAATAAAAAGATTATCAAAAAACAAAACAAAATCCCACCCCTCACGTGGACGAAATAAGTAACGGTAACATAATGAATGCTCAGACTTTGATAAATTATAATACGTTTGGATAATAAATAGAATTTCTATAGATTTGGTTAAAATAAAAGAATTTGAAAAAGGTTTGGGTAAAAAATAGACATTGCCCTAGAATCTATAATGAATTTTAGAGACGCTATGGAATTACTCATTGGTTGTTGTATCTTGGTCGTCCTCTTTCCTATAGATGCTTCAACTTTTTTCCCGTGTACTTTCATTTTATTTTACACATTTGTGCTCTTCTGCCCAAAAACGAAAGTATCAATGTATCATAAATGATAAAACAGAAAAAAAGAAACGCAAGTATCATAAATCAGACAAAACAACTTTTAATGTGGTGGACAAATATAGCCATTTGTTAGTTTCAGATCATGCCACATGAACTTACAAATACTTTTTAACTTATTGACTTACTACCCTGTTCACTTGTCATTTTGTTTTCTGATTTTTTGTTGTGGCAACTGAAATTTGAAAATAAAGACGAAAAAACTTGTTCACTTATCATTTGGTTTCCATTTGTAAAAATGGTGGGTAACTAACGTGGCAGCGGGTGGAAAACATAAATCCTTTGTTTCTTCAAAATGAGGATGCGGGTTTCTCCCCATTCTCCAGCGGAAAACAACCTTACTGCATTAATGAGTCCAGTTTTCGAATCCCCACCTCAATGTTGTCTGCTGCAGTCAATCAAATCAAAATTCCCCAACTCTACCCGCGATCTCTTCAGCCATCGCTCCTTCCTCCCCAAATCCACATTCCAACTTTCTCCCCTCCGCCAAATAAAAAACGGCGGACGAATCTTCTTCTTCCCTTTGAAATCCACGGCGAGCAACTGGTAAACCTCAGTCTTCGCCACAAAACTATCATTCGGCCCCCTAATATTGATTTGTCGCATCTATCGTTGGGCCCTGCTCCTTCCAGCAGTCGCCTCGTCTCCTCTGTATTCTTGACGACACCGTCACCTCCGGTCAGTCCTTCACTCCATTAGTTACTCTCTCAAGCCCTTGGGACGAGGATTTGAAGTATGAACAGGTTACCACTCGGCCACTCCAGTCATTGATACTTATAGTTCCTTTCCATACTGGTTTGAACATGCAGTATGATCGAGGAGTATGATGTGATCACTCCTGATCTGTATGTTTCTATCTGAACTGGAAGTTGAAGAATGAGAATCCATCTCATTGATGTTGCAGCTGGGCTGGAGTTACTCGATGGAGTTTGCAGAGCTTTTGAAGAACAGAGGCAGAAACGTCCCCTTCCACTCAACTTAAACGAAGGACAAAACGTCGTCATGGAGTCTGGAATTTACCGTTGGGTGGAGTTTTAACGAGCCAACATGAAGAAGACACGTGGCTAGCTTTTACTGTTTTATTTGTATTTCCGTTTAACTTCCATTTCCATTTTTACTGTTGCTTGTTGGTTACACCTGAAACTCATATATATATGAAAAGCTGGAGATCAGATCTCCTTGCGGGTTTTGCCCATTTGATACCGCCTTCTTCTTCTTTCTTACGAAACCCTAAAGCTCAAGGAGCTTTTCTATATTTATATATGTATAAATCATCAACTTATAGTGAAAGTTAAATACTTCTCTAGGATGCATACCATATAGTCCGCTATAGGGGCACGACGAATGTGCTTGAATGGAACGACGTCATCTTGCCCTTTCTAAAAAGGGCAAGATTGGATTCGATTAGGCACTTTAATGGAATCAAGATCGACCACCAACTCATCACAACATTGGTAGAGAGATGACGAAAGGAGACACACTGCTTCAATTTTCGTGAAGGCGAGTGCACCATCACACTTAAGGACATCGCCATCCTAACCGATTTGCCGATCGATGGTGATGTTATTTGTTTGGACTCTACGCCACCACCTAAAGTTGTTGCCAATATGAATGGTACGCAGCATTTTATATGGACGGTCACCGGGTTGTGTCCGCCAACTTAAGGAATCAAGATCGACCACCAACTCATCACAACATTGGTAGAGAGATGACGAAAGGAGACACACTGCTTCAATTTTCGTGAAGGCGAGTGCACCATCACACTTAAGGACATCGCCATCCTAACCGATTTGCCGATCGATGGTGATGTTATTTGTTTGGACTCTACGCCACCACCTAAAGTTGTTGCCAATATGAATGGTACGCAGCATTTTATATGGACGGTCACCGGGTTGTGTCCGCCAGAAAAGGGAGATCACGATGCGGATGGTCATCCACCATTGTCCAAGGGCCAAGTATCCATCACGTGGTTGACAGCGGAGATCAGGTGTAAGCACAACCCTGAGTTCGGAGGCATTCCCCTCACGGAGGAAAGTTCGGAGCGTGGTAAAGACATTTATGCACGTATCTACATCCTCGGCATGATCGGCGGAGTTTTCTTCCCCAAGAAATCCAACAATTTAATCGCAATTCATGGTTGAAGATCATACTTGGGAGTTGGGATGATATGGGAAACCTGAGTTGGACATCTGCTTTCCTAGCTCATCTCTACCACTCCCTCTGTAATGCTAGTGCGAGAGCGGTGAAGGAGATTGACGGGGCCATGTTCATCGTCCAATTTTGGGCTTGGGAGCATTTGCCATGGATTGCGCCGAAGGTAGACCCCGACAAGGAATGGGGACCCAACCATCCCCTACGACATGAAGTTTATGGTTGTAGGTAAATATTTTCTATCCCACTCATAGTTCTCACCTTTTTTTACTAATTGGGTATTTTATAACGAACCAGCTATTATGTATTAACATGATGTACTTTTTGGATTGAATAGGTGGCTTGGTGAAAAAACATGCGACAACCTAGGAGCGCATAAGTTGGAGGAGTATCGTAGGAGGCTTGATCGCCTTTGGGAAGCAGAGGTGACCATCATAATACACTATTACTTCCTACTTTTTTTTTCAACTTATATTATTATGTTTCTTAATGGTCCATTTTTTCTGCATCTTCGTAGCTTAAGTTCGATCTGTATCCAGAACGCATTGTCGCGCATCACCTCCACAAGTTCCTGTTGCATCCCGGTCAATGGGCTGCTATCTTTAAATTTCTTCTCTTGGTAAGTGACAACTGATGAATATCAAACAAAAACGTAAGGTAAGCAAGACCGACCTTACAAGTACACTCGTAAGACTCTTAGGAGAGGTATACATCTCCTTAGAAACACAACCTGTTTGACAGAAAAAGGGGGGGATCCGAGGATCGCTTAGAACCCGATTTTCTTAGGAAATGGGAGGATCATGATGATCACTTAAAACCCCATTTTCTTAGGCATGCATTACTTTATAAAGAGTCTAAATAACTGTTGTATTGTATTGATTTAGTCCTCGTTTTATCCAGTTGGCAAAATATATATAACAATTAATTAGAACGCTTACCGATCCACCATAGACTATTAGCAAACTTCTTTCGCTTGAAATGGTGGTTCCAGTTGCTCTTGAAATGCCGTATGCACCATCTCTGTGACCAGTTCCAGGCTGGATCCAAGCCTAAGATAGCAGCCCGTATACCGGCGTGGCGATCTGAAATGATAGTCAGGTTCGTCCGCCTGGTGACATGGAGCTGAATTTGCCTGAAGAACCATCCATAGCTATCGGTATTCTCTCCCTCCACAATGGCAAATGCTAATGGATATACTGCTCTATTTACATTTGCTCCGCTGGCGATCAGTAGAGTACCCTTGTACTTGCCGGTAAGGAATGTTCCATCAACTTGAATCACAGGAACACAGTATGGAAAACCATCAATACATGGCTTGAATGCCCAGAAAAGACGCTTGAAATGGCGCTTGTTACCAGGCACCGACGGTTGAATTTCTTCATCTTGGTAGTGAGGCGAGAAAATGGTGCCAGGGTTAGACACCTCCAACGCCAAAATCAATTTGGGAAGGAATGCATAGGATTCTTCCCAGTCACCAAACACGGCGGCTATTGCTTTCTGTTTCCCATGCCACGCTTTCTTGTAGTTAATGATATAACCATAACGAATAGAAATGTCGGCGATGATGGTTTTCACCTTCAGGTCGGGCTGCTCCTCAATTAGATGTTTGATAGCCGCGGCAACCACCCTAGATTTCAACAGTCGATGGCCTTGGGATGTTATTGATGACACACATGTGTGTGTGTTCACCGCACGGGGTATGACCCAATGGCCGACTCTCTTGCTCTTGATGGCCCATACCCTAGCTTTGCATCCCTCATTTTGATTTTTGCATCGAACCATCAACCTCTTTGTGTCAGAATGGGTTGTTTGCCATTCATAACTCCGAGTCATTGCTTCAGTGGCAATAGCGTGCCGGACCTCATTCTTCGTTGCAAATTGTTGGCCCTTCGTAAAGCCAGTGAGTGGACCCCATACTGGCACCTCTGGCGGGTCCATGTCGGTATCAACATACCAATCTTCATTTTGAATGTGATTGTAGTACGGGATAGGTACACGGTCGCGAGGTACCTCATCACCGTCTGCGTCTGAATCTGGACCGAAATCATCAGCACCTTCCAGAGGATCGAAGCTGTCTGCACTAACATCGCCTTCCTCTTCTTCAACCTCAGGGTCACTAACTGGACTTGGATTGATCTCTTCTTCCATCTGATTATCATCATGAAAGGCACCTCTTCTTCCATCTTAGCTTGCTTAATTTTATTGGTGGTCAAAAATTGGACCATGCCATCAATGTCCTCCTGAGTGGTAAGGAGGAATTCCTCATTCCACAGCGACCCGTCATGTCTGTTTGGATATCGATACACCATTTGATCAACTCTTCTAGTGCCATCCATGCAGGTAATCTGAGTGCACATTTGATGGAGCTCTTCAAGCATCGGTCTCGTACGAACCTTCATTTTATAAAAATTGCCACGGACGTAACTTACACCCTTTTCGGTCTCTTCCGTGTAACCATTCCACCGCAACCCAAGCGTGAACCTTTGGAATGCCATCTGCAATAAAATTGTAATTAAGTTACTAGCATTAAATCACAAAGGATAATGAAAGTAATACAAAACAAACTTACGAATTAACGTTAATCGCAAAAACTAAATAATTTAAAGGTGCACAACTGAAATTTGAAGAAGGAGGAGGAGGAGTGTGAAGAATTTGAGGACTCTGAAACAACCTTTTATAGGCGAACTTTGCAGTACAAACCGCGGGGGGGGGGGGGGGAGCGGATTTAGGTCTGCCATGAATCCCCACCCCCTGCATGCCGACATGTTTGATGTCGGGTGACCAGGCACAAACCGCCATTAGGGGGCGCGGTTTATGTCTGCACATGGTAAACCGCCTCCTGCTGGGGCGGTTTATCAAGCCGACATTTAAACGCTTCCTCACGGAGCGTTTGTGGTAGGGTTAATATATAAACCGCGCCTTTGAGGAGCGGTTTTACCTGAAATGAAAAACTGCCTGTTCACAAGGCGGTTATAGTGTAAACCGCACCCTGGTGGCTGGTTTATATATTAACCGCCTATTAGGGACGCGGTTTTTAATAAACGGTGGTATTTTTGAAAATTATTGGGAATGAGTGGTATTTTTATAAATTTTTTTTAAACCGTGGTAGTTTTGGATTTTTTCTTCCAAACTACCTCTAACTTAATTTTATAAAATTTCAACGAATAACTGAGGTCAGTAGCGTTCGCTAGAAGAAGAGGGAAAGGAAGCTTCCATAGTTCCATGGTTCTCCGTGCTACCGCGCCATCCCGACCCTCGACTCCGAGTCAGTGCAGAATCTTGGGAATTCAGCCCTGGCCTCTGTACACGGCCCACACAATTGCCGCCATTGAAGTTTCCCATTCTATACTCACCTACGTCAGGTCTCTAACAATGGCGTCGTCGTCCTCTTCCACGTCTGGTGGCGACGCTGCAACTCTCCGGCAAAAGAGAATCTTTGCGAGCAAGCTTTACTTCGACGTTTCTCCAACTAAGGTCAGTGAATTACCCCCGTCGTGCTTCCTCTCACTAGTCTGAGCACTTCATAGTTTCTTTTCCATCTTCAACATGGTCGCGCAGGTCCCGCTAATTTACTCTCCCGCTTACGACATCGCATTTCTGGGCATTGAAAAGCTGTAAGAACCTAATGATTGAATTTCAGTCAGTCCCACTTGTACGGGACTTCATTTGCTTACTCTTTCGAAGCTTTTCACTTGTAGGCATCCGTTTGATTCTTCAAAATGGGGCCGAGTTTGCCAATTCTTGATCTCGGCTGGTGTTCTCGATAAGAAAAGAATCGTTGAGCCAATCGAAGCTTCTAAAGATGATCTGCTGGTGGTAATTTCAGCAACTCCTGTACAATGTTCTTCGTATGCGAACTTGTGGCGATTTGTATGCAGAACAGCTATGAGGTGCTGATTAGTAGTCATTGACAGGTTCATTCTGAAGCGTACCTGGAAAGTCTGAAGAGCAGCCCTAATGTTGCCATGATGGTTGAGGTTATTTTGGCGTTCCATCTCTCTTGCATTTTCCTTTTGGTTGAGTTTGTAAAGATTATCATCTGCTTCCTCAAAGGAATATCTCTCCTGCCTATATTATGGGGTGTACAGCTGGATCTTGTCATTGCAATTGATTAGGACTATACAGTACAGGTTCCTCCTGTTGCCATGTTCCCCAATTGTCTTGTGCAGAAGAAACTTCTATATCCTTTTCGCAAGCAGGTGTGGTTATAGTTTGGTCAGTATGTACGATTTCAACTGGCATATGCTTTTTTCTGTTAGGTTATAGGGACATTAAATTTTACCCTGTTGCAGGTAGGAGGAACCGTGTTGGCTGCTAAGCTTGCTAAAGAACGAGGATGTGCTGTCAATGTTGGGGGAGGGTTCCATCACTGTAGCAGTGAAAGAGGAGGTGGATTTTGTGTTTATGCGGATATTTCACTTTGCATACACTATGCTTTTGCTCGATTGAATATATCCAGGTACCAGATGTGCTAAGTTGAAATTACACATAAGTTCCCACTTGACATAGCTCTGACATTTATTCTCTACAATGGGATTTGGCTCTTCTCCTGATATACCTGATAGGGTGATGATTATTGACCTTGATGCTCACCAAGGGAACGGCCATGAAAGGGACTTCTCCGCTGACAGTATGATTACTCAGTTTTAGTTATGATGCCTGAGCTCAATTTGGATTCCAATGTGACTCAGACTTCTTGGATGTTTTCTGACAGAAAGGGTCTATATTTTGGATATGTACAATCCTGGAATATACCCATTTGTAAGCAGCATAAGCTTCCAACATGATATTTATTTGCTGGTTATGGTCACTTTCTGCATTCATTTAACAACACACCTGTTGAAACTGTAGCTTATTTGTCCATAAATATTGAGAAGTTCATTCCCATGGTCTAATTTCTTGTTTCTTTCGAAGGATTATGAGGCAAGTAGATACATTGATCAGAAAGTTGAAGTAATGGTAAGCTCTTGCCATTTTCCTGGTATTCTAGAATATATTTTCCCTGTCACTTTAACTTTTTCAGCATCTTATTTGCTATATCAACTATCTGAACAGAGTGGAACAACAACAGATGTCTACTTGAGCAGATTAGATGATGCACTTGAGGTACTATATATTTACTTTTAGCTTTATTCTATATCAGTGTATTTTTTTCAGCTTTGGGATGTCATGTTTGGTATGCTCATCCTCATGTTGACTGTTTCATTCAACATAGAAGCAAGCTCTCCAGTAGAGTTTCTTAAATAGCACTTCAACAGAGAGGATGCATTTATTTTCTCCATGATACTTCCTTTTTCTCCGAATCTTCGAAAACAATGTTTGCTTGTGTTGGGTCTTTTTTCTTGTCCATTACACGACCTCAACTGATCATATCACTGGTAGCCCATGTAGTGGACTGGCTGGGTAGCCACACGCCCATCTCATAGATCATGGAATCAATCCCCAACCCGAACCCTTCAACTATGAAAATGAAAACGAAAAATAACAGAAAAAGAAACATCCATTGTCCACTTCAGACTGTACTGCCTCTCAGGCTACCAAAAACAGTTTTAAAAACATTTTCTGGTTGTGTGACTTCCATTTGTTAGCTATTTAGTTTGCTTCAAAGGTCTCTTTATACTGGTCTTCTTATAAATATGGTTTGCAGCATTCCTTAGTTTAGATTCATTGTTGTTCCTCTGTCCCTTTTTTTTATAGAAAATCATGTAATTGAATCCAATAGACCAACTCATTTATCTTTAAATGTAAACCTCAGGTTGCTGGTAGAATGTTTGATCCTGAGTTGATAGTTTACAACGCTGGTACTGATATACTTGATGGAGATCCGTTGGGCAGGTTGAAGGTACCAACTCATTGAATTCTCCTGGAAGCAATACATGCTCTTAACGAATATAGCTTAGCTGTTCAGCATGCCAACTATTTTTTCCTTGAGAAACCATATGCGATTGCTATGCTTAACTGATATTTCAAGGAGGTGCTTCTGCTTAATTGTCATACATAATTGCGCAGTTGACATAACGTGAAATTGCGCACTTATTGTTAGAAACACGTTTTCTAACGAAAACAGGCTTCTATGTCATCATTATCATTATCATTATTATTAGGTTTTATTAAATATGGTTAGTAGTATTTTAGTCAAGTTAGGATTATTATTAGGGTTTCCTAGTATTCCCTATAAATATGTACTTTGAGTCTACGTTACGATCAGTCAAGAAAGAATTATCAAACCTCCTAAACCCTAATCTCTCCCTATCCTCTCAATTCTCGATCCCTATCCCTCCAAGGCCTCGGCCGATTCTCTATTCTATTCTTCTTCTTCCCCAAATCCCCAATCTCAATCCCTAATTCTATTCGTATAAACCCTAATCCCCAAATATCAAATCCGTTAGAAACTTGTTTCTAACATCTGGTATCAGAGCCCCGTTCCGATCGGTGAGTTCTCCTCAACTCCATCAGGGACAGCTGAGAAACCGGAGTATCGACATGGAAAAATCAGAGCAGCCATGGGCTCAGTTGCAAGAAGAGTTATGGCAAATCGCGAACTCCTGGAAGAGGGAGTCGGCGCGAGGCGCCGCGGCAGAGAAGGAGGGCGCGCGACTGGCGGCGCTCGCTGACGCCGACCGAGGCGACGGCGCGGGACGCGGCTCGTGCGTCCGGGCGAGCGGGGTGAAAGGCGGCGGTTGGGACGGAGGGCCCGTGGCCGAGGGGCGCGCGACGGCGCGCGGAGCAGAGGGCGGCGACGCGGGGAAGAGGCGCGAAGAAGCAGAAAGGTTGGTGAGGCGAGCCGAGTCAGTCCTCGACAAAGAAGCTGCCAGGAGTAAAGCTCCACATTCCCCCTCGACCAAAACAACCGCGAAGGAAGTCGAGGAGATTGTCTCGGAGCCTATTTCGCCATCAGCTGCCATCCCTAACATCATCACCATAACTGACGAGCAATCGAACCATAGTGAAGCAGTCGCCGTACTTCCATCATCCATTGCCAAAGAAGAAATTCAGGCAGCCAAAATTCCATGCGAACAACAGCTGCTGCCGACATCAACCCCCACACTCGACCACCTTGCCTCGCCGGCATCACCAACAACCGTCGCTGCCGCTTCAAGGACTGCAATCACCTTGGTCGTGGCAGAAGAGTCGTTCGCAGAGAAGATTGAATCCAATCTGAAAGTGGAGGAGGTATTACAGATAAATCTCAAAGAGGCTGACCCTCTAATTGGGAATTTGTTGGTGAAGAGTTCTAGGTTCAATTGGAAGTTCCGGAAGAAGTTGAAGCCCGATGAAGTGGAGTCGGCGGCCGACGCGTCGAGCATCACCGTTGCCTCGTCCGCGTCTTCGCCGATTCGTCCACCAGTTTCAGCCAAGGAGAAGGCCATCTCCGTCTCTAAACTTGAGGCCACTGCGTTATCAACCAGCGGGGCGGCGGGGATGACCGGTGCCAACCGGGAACTGGAAGGCGAGACGATGAAGGGTTCTCGGGTTGTATCGCCGAGGTCGCGAGCTGCGCGAGGATCGAAGGAAGATTCCGCCAAGTTGTCGATCGAGAAGAAACAGCGGCGGAGAGGCATGGCGCCGGATTTGCCTGGGTTTCGGCCCGTGGACGGCGCGCTCGGGAAGAAAATGCCGCCTGGGCTCGGGCCATCGAGGGAGAAGAAAACTAGCTGGGCGGCGGGTCGCGTTGGACAACGGGAAGAGTCGGAGAAGGAGATCGGCGCCGAGGAGCTGCTACTCGCGTCGCCGGGAAACGAAGCGCCGAGGAAGGAAGAAACGTCGGACGACGGAAGGAAGAGGCCGGAGATAACGTGGCCGCCTCACCGCCGGGTAGAGTTGCCGGCGAAAGAAATGGAGGAGGGCGGCGCTGCTTCTCTTTTCGCCAACTATGGGTCTCAAACCCTAGGGTGTGCTAACCTGCTGCCATTTCCGGTGGGTCACACGGCTGGTTGGGCCGCCTACCTTACTGGGCCAATTACTGAGCAAAAAGTGATTTGGGTCAAATGTTTTGATGAGTCAAATTCAGTGGGCCGTGAGCACACGCGGTCAAGGAGGGAGCAATTCATTTCGGGCCAAGTGGGGCAGCAGAACGTGGTCGCTACTAGGGATGCAGCGGGCTTTAGTCACAAAATTGAGCTGCATTCTTGGAAACGATTTATGTTAGACTCTGGGTCAAAAAGTGGACACATTGGGCCGCGTCTGCAAGGAGTGAGTGAGCCCAATTTAGATTGTGTCTTGATAAAGGTGCGCTGGGAAGGAAATGAAGATGGGAATGAAAGCTTAGTTGGTAGGCTTTTGGAGTGGCAGGGCTCAAAATTAATTGGAAATGCAACGAATTTGGATTATGGGCTTGTTCTAAGGAAGATACTTGAGGGCCTTGATGAGCTGGTTTTTAAGGATAGGTTCTTGTGCCATAAGAACCATTTCGATTTCTTAAAGTACTGGGTTGTGGTGCCAACAAAAGAGGAGTTATTCAACCAGGAAGCAAAGAGTGGACTCTTGAAGTTAGCATCCCTTGACCAATTCGTGAGGGTCATCGCGAGAAAGACGGAGCAAGCACTCTTACCCGATTGGAAGAAAAGGAAGCGCAAGACACGGAGCAGTTGGCGTACTGATAGCGCAGGAGAGGCGAAGACGTGGGTCGAATCGATCAACCTTGAGGGCAAGGTTGGTCTCAAGGGGGAGGGGATGTTAGAAACACGTTTTCTAACGAAAACAGGCTTCTATGTCATCATTATCATTATCATTATTATTAGGTTTTATTAAATATGGTTAGTAGTATTTTAGTCAAGTTAGGATTATTATTAGGGTTTCCTAGTATTCCCTATAAATATGTACTTTGAGTCTACGTTACGATCAGTCAAGAAAGAATTATCAAACCTCCTAAACCCTAATCTCTCCCTATCCTCTCAATTCTCGATCCCTATCCCTCCAAGGCCTCGGCCGATTCTCTATTCTATTCTTCTTCTTCCCCAAATCCCCAATCTCAATCCCTAATTCTATTCGTATAAACCCTAATCCCCAAATATCAAATCCGTTAGAAACTTGTTTCTAACACTTATATATATATATATATATATATATATATATATATATATATATATATATATATATGGGTTAGACTGGTGTACGTCAGGCGTATAGTATACGTCATATTTTCTCACCATTGATCTCATCTAACGGTCGTTATTTACGGTGATAAAAAAAATTAATTATTTGAAATTATAATTACTAATGACACCCATTAAAATTATAGACATACGATATAGTCCTTGAACAAATTTTACCATTTCTTTTCATAGTACCGTGTGTTTTTACTCATTCTTTCAAACACCCAAACTTATGTACCACTACCAATTAATTCTCCATCGACAAATTTGGGTGATTGCTTCCTGAAATGCCAATTTTTCAATCATCAAAATACGAACCAAGAATATCTCTCCTCCTCACCCCTGAGTTCTACTTTTACCCGAACACTGGATCTCTCTCTCGTCTATCTCCCACAAATCCTCTGTGCAAGACATCGTTCAATCCCTTGGCCCAAATCTATCTCTTGGCGGCTTCTTCTTCTTTTCGTTCTCTCGCTGCCTCAATCTCTTTCTAGAGGCAGGCTGCGTTTTCCCTCTGCTTCTTTCTCTTTGAAACACACAAGGAAACAGCGCTGGGGAAGCGTGATCAGCTGCGGCCGCTGAATCAGGGATTCTGGCGCCGCCGTCACCGTCGCCATCTCCGCCCTCCTCCTTGTCTATTCTTCTAGTCGGTGAACAGGGGAAAAGTAGGGACGATCGACAAAGCAGTTCTATTTGTGCTTACATGAAGCCTTTGGAGATCAACTGGGCAGAAAACAGATGCTAGCTCCTGAAGCGTGATTAGCAGCCTCAAGAAATACACATGCTTCTTGTCTCTGTTTCAATGGCTCTCGTATTCAAACTCTATGACAACTGACCTCCAATTCGACGAGTTCCATCAAAGCCCTCATCTGGGATACTCTGAGATGAAATTCCTAATATCCGATACATAATCGGCCAATTCTTAAAGAAGACATTCTCCTCATCGGCTGGACATCATCCCCAAATCGTACTCAATGAACCCCAGGAACCCAAGTTGGAGGGATTAAGAGGTTCCACACCCAAATTAAACAGCACTCTGGTTCAGTTTCGATCTAGCCACTAAACAATATATATAGTATTTGATTGTTGAAAATGATGTTCGAAGAAAGTAGGGAACCAAAATAAAGAACTCACTGGAAAAAAATTGGGAGCTATAATGCTCGTATAAAATATTAATGGGTGTTGTTAGTAATTATATTTGCTAATTAATAATTAAATAAATCATCATTACTAATGACCGTCAGATTAGATCAACGGTGTGAGGCATTTGTCGTATACTATACGCCTGACGTACACCAGTCTAACCCATATATATATATATATATATATATTTTTTTTTTTTTCTGTATATGCATTCTTTGCTTCTTACATTATTGACAAAGTTTCCCAGTAGCAGTTAACATAGAAATAACTTGGTGAAAAAACTTGTAAGCTCTCATATCCGTCAAAAACCACGGAAAACAGACACAGTGAGCAACATCAAGTAGTGCGTTGAGGATCTAACCTATTTGTGTTCTTGAACTTCATTAAGATATGGCTTCCGTTTGCAGATTAGTCCTTCTGGTGTAATCAACAGGGATGAGAAGGTATTTAGGTTTGCTCGTGAAAGAACTGTACCCCTGGTCATGCTGACATCAGGTTAGCAGTCATATGACTTCCTTGCTGAAAGCTGTTGGTTCTATGCATCTGATCTGTACATGTCCCCCGCCCTACAACAGAAAATTTTGATTTCCCTTCCTAAATTTGGTGCAATCGAATTGTTGGTTTGAATTAGAGGGTTAAATGGAGGTTGCATTTTACATCTAATTGACTCTGCTGTGGAAGTATGAATCATGCACCTTGAGCTATGCTGTTGAATAGCATGTCAATTTCATCAATAAGTACTTTTGAGTATTCTGAGACTCTTATATGTGAAGCATAATTTCATTTTCATGCCTGGTATAAAAATAAATAAGTGAATCCTTTTGTATGTACCATAAAAGTCTTACCGGTAAACAATGTAGTTCCATTTGCATCAGTGCAGAGAATTGTACTTTTCTACTCGACGACTGGAAGGTAGGGGAAAAAAATGAAAACAATGGAGCATGATGTGATTGAAAACCAAGTGTCTAGTGTTCCAGTTGCTTATTTTCTTCTGTATTATTGTTCAAAGCTTGCAATTCAAAATACATCATTGAAAGGATAGATGTGGCTGTCACAGTTAGCTTCTTGGCCACAGTACTCCAGTAAGACTCTCATCTCACTCTTTAAAACTTCCGGTTTCAGGTGGTTATATGAAGTCCAGCGCAAGAGTGATTGCAGATTCACTGGCAAATCTCTCCACGAAATGCTTAATAGATTTAAAGTTGTCCATGTGAGGAATTTTAGTGTATAGGCATAGCTACAGCTGGTTTCCTCTTTGTATTGTATAGTTTGTGCAGGGCTGAATAATGTCAGGAGCGAAGTCTTGGTACTTTGTCTGATGCTCGTTATATATATTTGTATGTACGCACTTGGGGACTACCGCTAATGCCGTTTGTGTTTTTGTCTTGAAGAGGACTGCTAATGCCGTTTGTCTGAACATGAATAATTAATCCAATTCCAATGTTAGGTTGCATGTGAGCGTCGGGTAGGGTGTATAATGTTAGCAAAGACAATTTTATCAAAGACGTATGCGACTTTTGTGATATGTATATTGACTCCTTAGTTGTCCGTCAGATGTAAAGGTTGACCAAATGTTGGTCAAAGTGATGTTGATTTTTGTTGATGCGGTAAAAAAAAGGTAAATACAATTTAATATCAAAACCTTTCATTTTAAACAATATAATAGCCAAACCTTTTCGAAAACAATTTAATATCCAAATCGTCAACTTTCTGTCTGTTTGACCATTAGTTGACACTTCAAAAAAGTTCGAAGTACGACACTTCATCAATATCCATCGATATCTTCTTTGAAAAACCACCAACATATCGTAGTTCCAAACCCGAGAAGTCCATGACTCCACCATGATGGTATAGAATATCTAAATATTCAGTCATCTGCAATGCCAAAACAATAAAACAAAGTTGTATTGTGACAATTTCCCCTAAACAAAGCTTTCTTGAAGTGTCAACTAACGGTCAAACGAACGGAAAGTTGACGATTTGAATATTAGATTGTTTTCGAAAATATTTGGCTATTATATTGTTTAAAATAAAAGGTTTGGATATTAAATTGTATTTACCCTAAAAAAAAGTGACAACTATGTTCGGTCTTTTTTTCTTCATCAGAAGTTTTTGGTCCAATACTAAAATGGTTGGCAAATTTAAAGAAATGTCGAAAAATATGAAAAATTGTCAAAAATTGGATTCGTACCTATTCTAAAGTTGAGTTTGAGTCATAAGTGGACCATCGGCTTGATCAGTTGCGATCAGCGGTCATCGGCGGTAGGGAGTGGTTGCCGGCAGTGAGAGCTTTCACGATCCCGACGACTTTTGCTATGGGATGGGAGGTGAAGTTGATGATGTCTAAATTTATAGAAATGTATTTTTAATTTTTTTTTTTAATGTTGGCAACAATTAGCCATTCACTTAACTTCTATCCTTTGCATGATGAAATTCAATAACCGAGCCTCATTAGCAAGATGAAAACAATGCAAAGTGAACGTCATGCAAATCCATGAGATAAAATGCCACTAATATATGAAAATAAGGGCTAAATTACACATTTGGTCACTCAAATTACACAAATATTTCACGTTTGCCACCCGAATTACTTTTCTTTCTTATTCGCCACTAACTTTACGATTCGTTTCACCGTTAGTCACCGGACGTTAGTCTCTGTTACACTCCGTTAACTCCGTCAGTTTTTTAATAACATGGCAAACGAAATTGCTGATTGGACCGTTAACTTAATAACATGTCAATTTAAAATAAAATAAAATAATAAAATAATTATCACCCATCTCAATTGCAATTTCGTGGGTATTAATTAATAAATTAATGAAACAAAAGAAATGAAAAGAAGATAAAAACAAAGTCAAAGAAAAGGTAGGCTACGAGAATGTGAGACATACAAATCATCATTCTGAATCCTCTGCTTCAAGAGAAGAGCACATGCAGAGAGGGCGGATGTGGTTACGGGCAGCGCTGGAAGTTTGGTATCGGTATTTGGGATATACCGAATACTGTACCGAATTTGTCTATATATGGTATTATCGAATACACGTATTATTTTGTGGGATTGAGATTGGGATTGAGTTTCAATTGTTATTCGGTATTAGGGATTACGGGATTAGGATCGGTATATACCAAAATACCGATCAATACCGAAATTTAAGCTAGTGTATATTTTATCCTCTCAACTAGACTCTCTCATTCACTACTACGCGATCTTCAACCACCAAAAGTGCAATTTAATTATACATAGCTCATTACATCACTATTTCACACTAGTATTAGTCGTCTCTCACCCTCAAATTCATCAAATTAAAGATTACCAATTACAAAAACTTGAGATGTTAGCTCTAGGCAACTTAAGACTCTTTGCTTAGTCTCTTTGCCCTGATTAAAGAATAAAATCTAATTTATATATTTAATTATTAATGGCAAACGTAATTAATTTTGTATTTGATAATACCGATTGGAATACCGAGGTACCGATTGAGATACCGAAATATTTAGGGATTGGGATTGGGATACCGAAATTATTTAGGGATTGAGATTGTGATTGATTTTAGGGTGTAATTCGGTATTCAGAATTTCGATATTTGATATTGGTATACCGATACCGTACCGATTTCCACTCCTGGTTACAGGGACGAAGATTAGGGTGGTGAGAGTGAGGGTTACGGGGTTTGTAAAATGACCGGGATTTATTGGGTTAATAAGGCGGATGCGTTGATGGCGGCGGTTGGTGGCGGAGCAATGCCGGAGATTGGACTTGGTGACCGGAAAACTGACCTTCCTCGACCTGGAATGCCTGAATCCCCGACATCAGAAATCCAGCTTGCAAATATTCTTGGTGTGATTGAGGGTCCATAAAATTAAAAGAGGAAGTAATAATTTGGCCGAATCTTCATTCTTCATATCTCCTTCTTTGGTTCTCTCTATGTAGATGTCGTTAAGAAGTCCATTCTCCTCTGCACATGCACTCCTATTCCCTCATCTCCTGCCGCATCGTTCGAGCTTTTCTCGATTTTCTGGTTTCTTGTTCTGCCGCATGGGTGTGGCCTGTGTCTCTACTGTGGACACCCATGATGAGGAGATTAACTAGGAGAAGAGCAGCACTGAAATCCGATGAAGAGGTCTTCTACCGATTTGGGGTTTTCCGGGATTTTTGAAGGGAGCGCCAAGTGGAGGGAGCGGCGGCAAGGAGCCATGAAAGCGAGCGGCGACGGCTGGAAAAGTCGAACGTAAAAGGGGATGAGAAGGGGTAGGGTTTTAATTTTGTTTTTCGTTTTAGCTCTTTAAAAAATAAAAGAAATTAAATAGTAGGTTTCGGTCAATTGTGTTGGCTAAGGCGGGCTAGGAGGTAAATTTTCTTTTTTTATTATTTTAAATTAACATGTCATTAAGATTTCGGTCCAGTCAATAATTTTGTTTGCCACGTCGTCAAAAAACTGATTGAGTTAATGGAGTGTAACGGAGACTAACGGCCGATGACTAACAGTGAAACGATTCGAAAAGTTAGTGGCGAATAAGAAAGAAAAGTAATTCGGGTGGCAAACATGAAATATTTGTGTAATTTGAGTGACCAAACGTGTAATTTAGCCTGAAAATAAGCATTTAAAGAAAGTTCTTGTAAAAAAAAAACATATAAAGAAAGTTAAAACCAATAAAGCAGATACATACAAGCGACTCTATAACAATGGGAAAAAATCCCAGAATACGCGAGTTATTAAAAAAAATTCCCTAAATACAGTACTTATAAAAGTAATTCCCAAAATACAGCAGTTTCAACATCACTGTCTTAGACAAAGACAGTGATGTTGATCACCGCTTTTGTCCAAAACAGTGAAGCAGCGGGGAACGCATCACCGCCTTGGACGAAAGCGGGGAATGCATCATCGCTGTGGACAAAAGCGGTGATACGTTCCCCGCTTTTGTCCAAGGCGGAGATAGTATCCCCGCTTTTGACAAAGGCGGGGAACGTATCCCCGCTTTTGACATCAACAGTGAAGGCATCACCGCTGCTGTCCACAACAGTGATTGCCCCCACGTTTTACATAGCCCTGGTAGGTGGAGAAGTAGGTAACAGCTACCTAGCTATCACCGCTGTTGACTAAGGCGATGATGTGTTCACCGCCTTGGTCCAAAGCGGTGATTAGCTCTCAATTTTTCCTATAAAAACCCACGCCCTCTTCCCTCCTGCTGCCAAACAGCAAATTAGTACAAAATTTATCGTTTTGTTAAGTCGTTTTCGCAGCTGGTTCCTCCGTAGTTTACTGCTCAAGAAACTCGTCGGGATTCGGTATGTTAGAATTATGTATTGTTTACATTTTGATTATGTGCTAGAATTAGGTATGTTAGAATTATATATTTAGATTAATTATGATATGATATATGTTAGTTAGTTAGTACTGAATTTAGATTAATTTGTTTAGTTTTCTCATGATAGATCGGGATTGAGTATGTTATAAGTATGTATTTTTTACATGTTGATGTGTTAGTAATTATACTATCTGTATTTAGTGAATTGCGGTTATTGGAAAATATGTTATGATATTATTTAGTTTAATTATGATATGATAGATGTTAGTTAGCTAGTTATGAATTTAGATGAATTTGTTTAGTTTTCTCATAATAGATCAATTAGTTGCATTTTATTATCGCTTTGGATGATATTGTTTTTGTATCCATAATGTACTAATTATATACTATACTTAATTATTATAAATTGCAGACATGGGTAAATTTAAGAAGTTTCGGCTTATTATTTATTGGAATGGTCGGGTGACAAACTCGAACATTGGGATCGACTATGAAGATGGCGAATCCAGTATGCTTACAATTGAGTCGAGATTCTCGTGGCAAGAACTCCATGACAGGTGTGCAGAAAGGACTTGTACGGGCGGGCAAATGAGAGTTCGTCAAATTACTTACCGGTATCCCAACATGAGTGCTGACGGAGTCATGTACGAAAAAGTTGACATAAATGATGATGACGACGCGAACATGATGACACAGTTCATATCTGAGAACGGGGTGCGGCTTGCAGAGGTGTATGTCGAGACCGAGCCGGTCGGTGAAACTCATTCTCACCAGTATTCTTATGATGATGGTTTTGCAGGAGGGTATGGCTGGGGTGGTAGTTCAAGTAACTACGGAGCAGGTTCTTCTGCCGGAGGGTATGGTTGGGGAGGTACTTCAAGCAACTACGGAGGAGGTAGTTCTGAAGGAGGTGTTGGGTGGGAAGAATACCTGCCACATGGTGGTGAGACTTCCGTCGATATCGTTCAGCCCGACGGTGATCAATGGCCTGCTTGGGGTCCAGAGTGGGGTGACATTGAAAACACCCTTCGAACTGGGCGTACTTCGCATGACCAAGAAGGCGATGCTGGTTATGCTGCTAACGATGACCATCCTTCGCCGATCTATCCATTCGCTTCCAGTGACGATGAAAGTGAGGAAGATTTGAGATCAGTCGGTGAGGAGGAAGATACGGACGATAACGACGATATCGATGACAGTGAGGTGGCGTTCCGACAGGCACCAACGCCTTACTACACAGAGGTTCCTGATCAATTTTTATATGGTCAGAACGATGCCCCTGACTTTCGGCCCAT